TGTTGTAGTTGGTGATGGTGTTGTTCTTGTTGTTGTTGTTGTTATTGCATTTTCACCATTATTTCTTTCTCGTACATCTGAAATTATACATCGTAGTGTTTTCATATTGTAATGTTTCTGCTTTAGTCCTGGTTCTACATACCATTTTTTTCTGCTTTACTGTGCGCTATGTTGCGCTTCACCGCTCAATTTTCCAACTCAGACGAAATTACAAAAGTTTTTCATTATTCACTTTGCGGCTTGCGAGAATTTTGTATGAGTGCAACGAAAGTACGGCTGACTGAATCAACTGACTTTGCGAAACTGAGTATCAAGCTAACTGACTAACAACTGTTCCTACTATACGACGAGCACTATATAGTATATATCGTTCCTCAGTCAGTCGCACTGCAGCACCATTCACCTATCCCAGTGCCATATATATTTAAAGTCTGACATAGTCGAATTGTAGTAACGTACGAACGAACGTAAGTACAACGCGCGCTGTATGATATGGGTGCGCTTAAAAAAAAATTGAGGTTTGTCTTTGCACCTAAAAGTATGCAATAAAAAGCACAAAAATTGTTGAACGAACAACGAGCAATGAACGAGACAACGTTCAAAGAGGAAGGAAACGGAAATATGCGAAATTTTCTTCAAATTAGATGGGGTGGTCAGACATTAGGGAAATTTGGAGGTTGTTGCTTTCTTTCTTTCGAGTAAACGAAAAATTTTTTTTGTTGCCTATTTTTTGGTGTTTTTGTATTATTTTATTTTACGTTTTACTTGCTTTTATGTATATTTGGGGATTGTTTTTTTTATTTTATTTTATTTTTTTTTTTTTTTGGCAAGCATAAAGCTTTACAAATTGTAATGTAATTTAAAGTTAATGTTAGGAAGTTGCATTGAAATTTTGAAAATATAGAAAATGGAATTTTAAACTAAACCTAATAAAAACGAAACATTTTGCACAATTTCCAAAGTTGATTTTGGCTAATATTGCGGCGAGTTTAGTTAAGTTGGGTCCAAATATAGAATATACATGTAAATGAGTGGAGCAAAGTCGCAAATTTTTTATGCAGGTAGAATGTAATTAATAAAAATTTATAAAAAATTCTGTAGAAATAATGGGAATCATAATAACAAAATTAAATAATTAAAGAAAAATATTTGTAAGTTGGCATCATTTAGCAAGTATATGCAAATATTTTTATTGTGAACTATTTAGGCAAAAGCAGTTGGTTTTAGAGGATATATTGAATGAAAGAAAGGAAAGCTGAAAGATGGAACTACATATTCTAAGATGATATATAGTTCCACTATAGTGAACAGACATTGTAAAACAAAGCAAAGACATGAATACATCCAGTCCGATGATAAACTTTGTTGAATTAATTTTATAGCTGTTATTCTTCAAAAGCTGTACTCATCTCAGTTTCGAGGTGGATCAATGTGTCTTCGTTCTTTGTGAGATGATTTAGAACTTATACCAAAGCAATTATTATAAATGAAACTATAGTGATGGTCCCTGAGTTTTACATCTGCTGATATTCAGTGGTTAACCAAAAGTTTATTATTTTTATTTTTTAATTTTTATAGAATTTTATATTAATTTTATTTTTTTATAATATTTTCTTATATCACTTTTTGTGTTTTATTTTTATTTATTTATATTTTTTTTTTGTGTATTACTTTTTCGTATTTTTTTCTTTTATTTTTTTTGTACTATTTTTTATATTATTTTTTTATAGTATTATTTTGTATAATCGTTTGCATGTATTTTAAATTTATTTTTTCATTATTTTTTTAACTTATTTTTCTATATAATATTTTAAAATTATTCTTTTTATTACATTTTTATTTTTAGTTTTTTTTATTATTTTTTTATTTTATTTTTTTTTTTTTAATATATTTTTATTTTATTTTTTTATATTACTTTTTTATATAATTTTTCTCTATTATTTTTTAAAACAATAATTTATTATTTTAATGACCAAAACATTTTTTTTAAAAAATAATTATGTTTTTATACGGGCTAATTGGTCAATAATTAAATAATAAACTTTTTAAAAAATATTTATTTATTTATTTGTTTTTTAAAAAATATTTAGTGATGGTGACTATAGATTACGGTCGAAATGTCAGTCAAAATAAAATTTTTTTTTAATTTTTTATATAATTGTTTAATTTTATTTTTCTAATGTTATTTGTTTATTATATTTATTTATTGGCTTTTTTATAGTATTTTTTAATTTAAATTTCTTTTATATCTGCTTTTATATTATGTTTCTAAATTAGCTTTACATATTTCTTTTAGCAAGATTTCGATATTCTAAGCACGTCTATGAAAGTTTCATAATGATAACTCTTTTTAATAATTTTTTTCCTATATTATTATTATTATTATTATTAGAAATTTTCACATAAAAACCAATGACAAATTAATGGGCCAAATGACGATTGTGTATTCAACGATAAAACTGCATATTGTTAGCGATAGATGGCATAGTTTTTGTTGATATAGTCAATGTAAAAGTTACAACTTTATGCATCGATATCTCGACAAGTAGACTTTCTTAATAAAATATATAAAAATTTGGAAAAAATTCTTCATACTCTATTCTTCATACTCTATTATTATTTTATTCATTATAGAATAATTATATAATTCTATGTCATTAGTTCTATTCTATTATTCTATTAATATCCGTTGTCAAATCGGCATAAACGGAAAGTTAGAATTGATCCAATTTTTTTTTTATATTTTATATTATTTTTAGATACTCATGTATATATAACAAATAGCTTCATGTTTATTGTACTAAAAAAAAAAATTAAATAAAATAAAAATAAACTTAAACAGAATTTCAGTTTAGGCTTTAGCACATTTAATTGATTTTTTGTGTAAACTCGAGGGTCTCATTAAGACCTGAGCTAATTACTTTAGTAAATCAAATACTTTTAGTTTTTTCGGAAATTTCGTTTTGTTACTTTACTCAGATAAGTGAAAAGCTTTGTTAAATATTTTTTTCTGAAGTAATTTTGTTCATTCAATACAACGAAAAAAATAAAATGAAAAAATCCACGGAAATACTAGAAAAAATTATGCGTTATTTGTATTCTCATTTTTCAAATTTTTAAAAATTAATAAATATTATTTTTTTTCAAAACTCTCTCAAGATAACTATGACAATATTATTATTCAGAAGTATTATTAGTAGCAATCACTGTTTGTTACTATTTCAGACCTATATTTCGGTAATGAAATACATGAGTTTTTAATATTGTTGTTCTATATTTTCGAACTTATAATCTATTATAATGTTGAAGTCAGTTGAGTCAGTTTGCACTTCTGCACTTTTACTATCTATTAACTGTGAGATTTCTTTATAACCCCTCTCTACGCATTGACTAGATTATTGTTTACCACTTTATCAGACTAAGCAATAATTAACCTCAGATCTGCATACCTCCTTGAGGAACCTGTAACTATTCTGAGATTCGATAACGCGGTGTTGATAAGTCTGTCAGTTTTCGTATATAATTTCAAGGCTCTATCCTTTATGTATTTTTTGATCGGATCAGAGCCTGGCTTTGTCCAATTTCTAGCTGGCGAATAGTAGTGTTTGAGGCTTTGCTAAACGCTATTCATCCATATATAATCACATATTTCTTTTTTAACTTGAAATTATCTTATACTTTATTAATGCCGCAACTATAACCCTTGAGTTCTGCATATTTCTTGTAAACTTAAATTCTTTAAAGATAAACTCAAAAATATTATTAATAAACCTTTTTTTTAATACTTGACATTAATTGGCATTATACTCAAACAATATCATAATTGAATTATTATTATTGTTAGGGGATGTGGCACTACGAACGTTGGTTTTATTGTACCCCCTTCTGGGCTTAGAGTACCATAGATCTCTAATTCCTGTTGCGTCAATAAAAAGTAGTATAAAACCTACTTTACAGAGTTCTATTGAATCTTCTGTAAGATTATACATTCCCAAGAGCCTATCCGTATGTGCAATAGCGCAGAACATTCTAACAGCACATGTGTGGCCGACTCTTCATTGTCTTCACAGAATCTATAGTTTGCATCCGTAGTATACCCAGTCTGTTAGGATCCTGTATGATTCTTAGTTTTTCTTTTGATATGTTCATATAATCCTGGTATATCTTATTGTTATAGGTAACAATAAGTGATTTGAATTGTGTTAGTACTAGTATATTATCCCAGTATCATAACTGTAATACATGAGTTGTTGATATTTCTTGTCTACATTTCCAAAGTGATGTTCTAATAAAATTAATTTAAAATGTTTATATCTTTTTTTAACTTGAAATTATCTGGTATGATACTTCAACAATATCATAATTATAACTCATGAATTTTAAATATTTTTTGTGTAAATTTTTAAGCTCATCATATATAATTAAAATGATTTATCTATTGAACAGAGAAGTTTTTAATTAACAGCCATCAATTTTCTGTCTAATAGGCGAAATATTATTATAATGCGATTTCACACTGACCTAGACCTAAGTAACTGTATAAAATTTATTCTTTACATAATTCTCAATTAATTGGTTTAAATTGATTTATCCTAAAATGAACAAGGGATAATCTAATAACGAATAATAATTGCTATTAGCAGCAAAAGCCAACTGCAGGAATCATAATAGCGGCAGCAATTTCACATTAAAAAGTTTCAACCTCATTAAGACCTATTTAATCCATAACCTAAGAGTGCTGGACGAAAACCAAACCCTTCGTTACGGCTATTGTTATAATAATTTCGGTTGCTGTTGTACGAGTTTATTAATGCGCCTAAATAAGTGCTTTGGTTTTTTTCTTTTTCGTTTGAACGTAATAGGCTAATTTGTTGTATGCGTAATCTTTTAACGCAATTATTACTATTTTCCTTTATCACCAGTTTTTTCTTACGTCTCTCCCCCTTATAACAGCTCTTCATGCTTTACTTAATTTTTTCTAATGTTCTTTCATTTTGCAGCATGTCCTTTGGTTGGTACCGTGCGGAAGTAATTGGCGCTCTGGCATCCGTTGTTATGATTTGGGTTATTACCGCCATATTAGTTTGGCTGGCTATACAGCGTCTGATTAATAAAACATACGAAGTGGAGGCGGAGTACATGTTGATTACATCGGCGATCGCCGTTCTGTTTAATATAATGTAAGTACATAATTGCATAATAAAATATTAACGAATAAATGTGTTAAAAACCAAGAAAATAAAATAAAGGGAAATTTGTGGCAGGCGTTGATTAAGGACAACACAGCATTATAGCTCTCGTACAGTAGGCATTCTAGCTCTCCGCCGCCACCGCCACCACTGCCACCACCGTCGTCGCTTTGGCGTCACTCTATACCCTAGAAGGAGTATTTGGACTAGTGCGTTTCCCAAATTACGTTGGTACATTAATTTCGTTTTAGCATTCGAAACTGGCGCCAGTTTCGTAAGAAATTGATTTCGTATTTTTGTAAATTTGGCAAAGTGCAAGTAGCAAAGTAGTAAAATTTATAGCTACGAAAATAAAAGAAAAATTATGTTGGCAGAACTTAACGCACATGAAGTTTATTTTATGCAAATATTTTGAGTTTGCCGTGCGTTGCCAGCCAAAAATATAACTTTGTTGCCAACATACTTTTATGTGACTCGATGACAAGCTTGAAAAATGAACTAACCCTGAGAAAATTAAAGTGGTTACCTTCAGTATTGTCGAAAAAAAATAAAATAATTATACTAAAAATAAGGAACAGCAATAATTCATTTTTATTATAGTTATTATCATAAGGCACCATAGTTCACTGCAAGCTATAAGATATTTTATCTTTTATTTGGAGATAGATTACTGAGGCAAATAAAGCCTGTTGATTAAATTATCAGTATCTCCTAGTCCTGTCACAATATCTCCTAGTGCTGTCACAATATCTTCCAGTCCTGCCACAATATCTCCAAGTTATGTTACAATATCTCCTAGTCTTGTCACAATGTCTCCTAGTCCTGTCACAATACAGCCTAGTCCTGTCACAATATCTCCCAGTTCTGTTACAATGTTTCCTAATCCTATCACAATATTTCCGAATCCTGTTGCTATATCTTCTATTACTATCACAATATCTTCAAGTCCTGTTACCACAATATGTTCTTGTCCTGTCACAATATCTCTTAGTCTTGTCACAATATCTTCTAGTTCTATCACAATATCTCCTAGTCCTATCACAATATCTCCTAGTGCTGTCACAATATCTCCTAGTAAGAACCCATACAGATCTCATCCAGATTATCTTATAGATATTACATTGGAATCAATTAACACGTTTTTTACATAAGTGACTCGTATTCCAAAAATCTCAAAGCCCAAGTCTCTTACAGGCATAATAGACTTATCAGATCTGTTATACTATTCTTGGGAGAGGTCTTCTGGGATTACTTAGACAAATTAGCACTATTGATTAATTTAACAATACCTCTTCGTGTACAAAAAAAAGGCACATTCCGTTTAATGAACATCTCCTGAACATACCAGATTAGTTAACAATCACCAAAATTATCATTAGAAGCAACGATGACAAACCGCGACATGTAAGATTTGTTATGTTATTCTTGGAAAAAGTCTAATAAATTTTCTAAGAATAATGAAAGCTATTGATAAAATTAACGATATCTCCAGTTGTAAAAAGATAATCCACATTTGACTCCATGAATACTTTTTAAACGTACTATATTCATATTTTAGTGATTACAGCGCACAAGCACAAAAGATAACTAGACGTTTCTTACTATTTTTAACAGTTTTCTAGCCTAACTCTGACAAATTAAGACTATTATTAATGGCTCCTAACTCAAAGAAGTATATCACATTTAGACCAATGAATTCCTTAAGGATGTATTATGCTCGCTTCCTAGTACTAGCAGGAAATGAATACATTTCACATCACTTTGAATAGAATATGCGTTTATCAGTAAACAATTATTACAATTATCAATAGAAGTGACCATGATATATCACGACCTATACGATCCATTTTTTAAAAGTTAAGCTTAGTAAATTAAAGCTATTGATAAACTTAACAATATCTCTTAGTTCTAGAAGACAGATGGCATTCGGATCAGTGAATGTGTGTTCTAAATTCGTACCCTGGCAGTGACAGGGTAAAAGCACTGAATAATCTAACATAAGATATATTTCGAGTGCGAAGCCTGAATATTTTTCTTGTTGACTGAAAAATCACGTTTTGAGATAAATTATTACAGGTTAATAGTTCTTTGGAACTAGTTCTTTTAGAGATGCATAAAAAATAATTATATATTCTAAAGTCCAAAAAAAAGTTGCATGTAATATACACAGACATGATTTATAGTATGTGAATATATTGTAAAACGCTTTGATAAATAATCATTATAATGTAGGAAGAGAAGATAGGTCAATATATCTTAGGATGAAATAGGTAAGACTTTAAATGATACAGTAGTCGAAATCACTTGCCATCTTTTAGGAAGTAGCTTACAGTGTGAGTCTTATTAATTTTATATGGTAACGTACCGTGATGGCTTAATACTATAGCATATTAAAAACATGTTTGCATCGACAAATGGCACATAGGAATAAATTTCGCGAGTAGCAAATACAAATACAAAAATACAAATATTCTTCTTACTTAATTGTAGGTGCTAACCATAACCATCATCATACTTCCGTACAAAGCGAATCCAGTGTAGAGGACAGCCGAAGCTATCGGCATCTGGAACTCATTAAACTAGTAACACACCTCTGATCGGATGGTGTGTTACAAGTGAAACGCACTTGCTACCAATTATATTCCAAAACAGTGCAAGATAGTGCCTAATAGATTTTAGTCCCCTTTTACAAAACGCAAGCCTTAACTCGGGAGTCTTCTAACCCTTTTCACTAAGTGAAGGTAGCTTACAGTATGAAAGCGTGAAATACCGCTTTCAATTTATTTATGGAAATAATCGAAATTAGTCAGACATTAGTTTTAAAGAGATTTCTATTCCACTTTTATGAATCTTAAAACTTTTAAGAATCATGTAGAATGAAGGTAATACTCGTGTATCACCTGATTAGTTTAAGGAGATTGCAAATATACTAATATATGTATCCTTAACTCTACTCTATAAAAATATAATGCAATACTTGTTAAAATTTAATTCAAATGTTCTATTTTACCTAAACTGCATTACTGAGCCATTTTCCTCACATTTTCTATGCATTTAATTTAATTAAGTTAATACATTATCTGGTATCCCATAAAATTATCCATGATCAATTTTTTTAATTTTAGAGCGCATTAGTGAAAGCATGTTCTTAAATTTTATTTCCGACATTTTGTATTTTTAAGAGCGAAATTTATTTATCTGACTTTCCGTTGCAAATTTTTTCAGTCCCATAATTTTTTAAAATATATGTTTCCACTCCTTTCGCTTTTGCTCTATCTGTCCTGAAATGTTGTTACTGCTTTGAGCTGTTGCATACATTTTGGCATGCATTACGTTTTTCACAAGTATACATTTTGGCTCTTTACCGAATTTGAAGTGTTAGTTTAGGCATTAGTCCAACTACAAATGCAACCTGTGAGTAACAAGCACTATGCAACGTGCAAGTATCCTCGGTATGGACAGATTCTTCAGTGCATTAATTTTTTTACTAAATGGTGAATTGCCACTGTTCGTGACAGTTGTGCAGCAAACGATGATACTTAGTTTTTGGTCTACTTTAAATTTTGTTTTCGTTTCAATAGTAAAATTTTACATACTTACATAGATACATGCATACATATATATATATATATATAATATAAATATGATATAATAAGATAATTATATATATGTATATATATTTTCCTTTTGTTTTTGTTATATATTGTTAATTATAACAGTGTTTGCACGTTTTATGTTTATTGTTTTTTTTTTCTAAATTTATGGCCTTTTCTTAATAGCGCTAAAGAATTTTAAAGTCATGAAATAAAATGGTTTCCTAAAAGTAGGCCACGAATAAAGTCTGTTTATTTAACCTTAACACAGTGTGGTTAAATTATCCTTTAAAAATGACTTGGCTTGTATAAAAATTAACTGAACAGTATAACCAAAGCATCGCGTTCATTTTAATTATTTGCCTTAAAATTATTGTGATTTTTACTCGTACCTCCGCACCTCCGTACCTCCGCACCTCTGTACCTCCGTAACTTCTCTTTTTATTCCATTTTACGTCCAGGGACAGAGAAACTCCGTAATGTTGCTGTTGTGTGGTTCGTGTTGCTTGTTTGTTTTTAAATGATTGCTTGGCAGCATTCAAACGTAATCAGCAACGAGAAAAATTGCAGTTCCAAAATAGAATAAAATTTAGAGACAACAAACGGAAGTGGCATCATCACTAACGCACACAACTCAACTCTCGTATCCGTTTTTCATTTGAACTCATTGTTAATTTAATGTGAAAAATTCCGTAACATTTTCTACTGATGCAGTTTTTATATTTTTATTTAATTTTTTGATCAAATAAGAAGATAATACATTTCGTTTTAATTAAATAATTATTATAATTTAAATACAATATAATTTAGTTGGCCTTGAACCAAATTGTTTAACTCATTTATTTGTACTACAATAACTGGTTATACTATAGTTAATGCCTGCTTTAGACCCGTGTGATTTGTGCCTATTCCATAAGCTTAAGAGTCCGTTTCGGGGATACCATTTTGACACAACTAAAGAGATAAAAATCGACTGCAATAATTGCTTTCAGAATTGATAGAAACGTTTACGTAAATATGTTCCATAGGAATAAATGGACTTTAGGTTTCATAAAATAGAAGAATACAAATTTCAAAAGCTGTAAGCAGTTTTGAGTAACAGTAATATGCTACAAACTAATCCATTAGTGCTTAGAAATATAAGTTTTAGCTGAAACCCTAAGTAGATTTGTAATAGTCATGTGGAGGATGTTAATGTTTTTTCACAAATCTAAGGAATGTTTAAAGTTCTATTCCTGACATGCTTACACACTTCAAGAATTGTGAAGCATTAACTATTTTACGTAGCTTCATGACAACCCAACACCTTAGAAAACTCCCAAAGTCAACATTCTTCCTAGCTTTCCGCATTTCGTATTTACGTCACTCTTGATAATTCTTGCCGTGTGTGTGTCATCA